TAATTATGTGTAATTGTGTATAATGCGGAAATAGATCCAGAAATTAAGGAAGAGACGAAAATGAGGACAAGGTGATGCAGCTAGCTACTGAGGTGTGCATGACTCATCCACTTAACTGTCTAACCGTTAATTAGTCTCCCGCTAACTTTGTTTTTATTTTAATTTAATTTAAAGAAAATTATATAGATAATATTGTTTCTCTTTATGACGTACCAATGAGTGCACCATAAATATTGTACTTAGTTTTATATTGGAAAAATCATTTCCAGCTACACGAATTATACGCCAACACATCACCACACATGCAGACTATTTTAATGTCTCGCTAACTACACGAACTATTGGTATTACATACAGACATCCCCGAACTATCATCGGTTATGTGTGCAACACCATAACCATCATTTTCAGATAATATAAATGTCTTGTTAACTACACGAAGTATTTTTCTTTTTGTCAACTACACGAAGTATTTTCCATCAAATTTTTTTTTATTTATAAAAAGTAATTAAAAAATAAAAAATAACTAAAAAGTAAATATTACACTATTATAAATTATATATATATATATATATATATATATATTATAACTTTTAATGCATTATACTTTTAAGTTAAATTAATTTAACTAATTTAATATTTATTATATTAAATTGTTAAAAATTTAAAATAGTCACTTAGTTAAATTATACATCACTATAAGTTAAATAAAACTATATAATATATCAATGTAAATTATATATACCATAACCATCATTTCCAGATAATATAAATGTATTGTTAACTACACGAAATATTTCCATCATTTTTTAAAAACTAAATTACAAAATGAAAAAATAACTAAAAGTAAATAATACACTATTGTTAATTATATATATGCATTATAACTTTTAAAGTTTAAATTCTATATGCAGTATCCCTTATAATTTTAAGTTAAATTAATTAACTAATTTTTAATGCACACATATGTTTTATATGAAATTAATTTAACTAAATTTTTAAAAGTGTCACTTAATTAAATTATACATGTTCATTATAGGTTTAAGTTAATTAACAAATTTTTAATGAACACATATATTTTTTATGGAACAAGTTTAGTCTTTATTACATTAAAATTTTAAAGTTAGAATAGTTATAATGTACATATATAATTTACATTGATATATTATATAGTTTTATTTAACTTATTAGTTTTGAAAAAAATTGATGAAAATACTTCGTGTAGTTGACAAAAAAAAGAAATACTTCGTGTAGTTAACAAGACATTTATATTATATGGAAATGATGGTTATGGTGTTGCACACATAACCGATGATAGTTCGGGGATGTCCGTATGTAATACTAATAGTTCGTGTAGTTAGCGAAACATTAAAATAGTCTGTATGTGTGGTGATGTGTTGGTGTATAGTTCGTATAGCTGCAATGATTTTTCTTTTTATATTATCTTGCATGTTGTCCAATTAAAATGTATACTTATGGAGTTTCACACGTAACCCCACCATATATTGTCTATTTTGCCAAACCAATGTAATATATTATATAAAATACAAAAACGAAAACACTAGTTTTGAATGGCATACTCGTAAGTCGTAACGATGCGGTATATGGTATACCGTTTTGATAATTATTAATCACAAAATAATATGAAAAATGTTATTTTAAATATTTTATATAGTTTTCCTATATCATTTATTTTACAACTAGAAGTTATATGTTAAATTTTATCAACGTAAACATTCTTTAATGCTCAAAGACATTGTTTAGTTCCTTTTGAGTGTACTAGAATAGCACCGTTGATCACACCAAGGGTTCTGCTCATGGAGTATTCGTTTTCTAATGTAAGATCAACAAGATTAATACACATAAAAATATAAGATAAAATATACAAATTAGTTGGGGATGTGCCTTTAGTCAAGTGGTTAAGTCCACATGACTCCGCCTTCCCCACCGGAGTTCGACTCCACTAAGACGCGTTACCCCGTGTAGTAGGGATTGGCTATGGATCGGGCCTTGTCGATCCAATGATGTCAAAAAAAAAGAAAAAAAAAAAAGAGAATGGGTACCATATGTGTGGTGAGCGAGTTAAGTGCAACATGTGGCATGTTGAGAATCTCAGTGCCGAAAATCTAATCGAAATCTAGCAAATGATCCTTTAAATTTCCGAACAGATAAACAAAAGAGGGATAGTGAGGATGATGAAGATTGATTGAGCAACCTGATTATCCAAGACCTTGTGTGAAGAGCAGATCCTCTAATGACGGGAATCTCCATAGCTTATCTCGAACGGTTCTTGTCAACAATCTTTCGTACATTCTTCTTCTTCATGTTTTGCTTCTTTCTAAACTTCAAATTGATGATTCTCGTCAAAATCAAAAATGGCAAATCGATTGTCTCTTCGTGACCTCATTTCTGGGCTCCGATTCCACTGGACAAGCTAAGACCCTCCAGACGAAAATGGTTTCTGATTTGTATGGGTTTTAGGGATTTACATTATATATAACGTAGCATGATCATTTTCGTCATCAACCTTAATGACGTTTAGTACTGTTAATAAGTTTTTTTCTATGTATACTACTATTAAGTTGATTAAACTTTTACTTATTAAGTTATTATTGACACTAGGGATTAGTCCAATACATTTGACAATTGATATTTCTAAGTTAGTTAAAATACTAAAAAAACAGGTAATGTTGTATTTAACATTTTAATTTTTTAAAAAAATATATGGTACTATTACTGGTTTAAATTTATCTTTCTTTGTAATTTATGTTTAAGAATTATTTTTTTTAATTTTCTTTCATTATTATTTACTCATAAATATATTTCCTGCAATATATTTTCCCATTATCTCTAATCTATTTATTTTTATCTATTTAATGTTTTACATCCTAAATACGAATTGAAATAACTTGTCAAACATATTACCACTAACTTAAACACATGTTAGTTCTCAATACCCCGAAAGTAGTAGTTATTAGCTAGTACGTAGAGACTTTTCCGGAAACAAATTAAAAATAAGTAGTATATGGAACTAGAAGTGTTTGGCAAGAAAAATATTAGAATTAAATAAATGAAAAAATTTTAAAAATTTTTTTAGAAAAAATGTGGGCTTGACACATCATCACAAAAACTCTCTTTTAATATATAGAGGATTAGTGAGAGATTTACACTACTTTGTAACAGTTTACTGGTAAAAATCTATATGAAGGGCCGCTTCGCCGGGAATGTACTACAAAAGCATGAACTTTTTGACTTTTGTCTTTGTCTTTCATTTTGAGCACCATTGGCAAAGCACAAATGAATTGTTCAATGGTCTCTCTTTCCCCCGTGAAGCCAGCATCATATCAATACGAGATCTCTTTACACTTGTCAACCCTTATGTAGGATTGTGTTACCAATCAGACCTTAGATTCTTAGTTTTTTAGTTGTAGATGATTTAAAGTAAGGGCTATATTAATTGATATGCATAGAGGATTGCAAAATTAAAAATCTATCCATACTTATTTTTTATTAGTTCTCTTTCCTCTGACTCAATTAATACCAAAACTACCCTTTGTTAGAATTAAATGCTAACAAAAATAATAACAAGATAAATAATTTAGTGTTAACAGTAAAAATAACATTGTTCATTTGTTATCAGAAACACTATCTATCATCGGAATCAATAAGGACACAATGATTTTTGTAGTTATCTATTTGATTAACAATGTAAATCAAATTGTATTGCGATAAATAAAAACTAAAACACTGTTCGGGCAACATGAAAAACACTATTCATCACGAGATAAAATAAAAAGATAATGATTTTGCTGATTATTTATTTGATTAGCAATATAAATCAGATTGTATCGCGATAACTTTTCAAGTTATATGATAGATTTATATTTATCATGTTAAATTATTTATCATCTGATTGATATCAACTAACTTATATATTGACATGTTTATTTATTTCAACAATTTATTTATTACCGTTAACTTATGCATTAGCATCGTTAACTTATGCATTAGCATATTTATTTATCGTGATAACTTGTTTATCACGGTTAACTTATGTGTTATCGTGGACGTAAAAAACAATAAAATTTCATTCTTCTCGGGTATCCTCCTCTGTCGTCATTCTTCCAAATTTTCTTCTTCTTTCATTGTCACCTGCAACTCCAACCCATGTTCACCTGCAAATTTCCTTTTTATTTCCTTTATCTTCGTCCTCTCCATCTTCACTTTAAATTACAAAACTATAATTTTCATCCCAAAATTCTTCAAATTAAAAGTTTAATCCATCCAAACTCATGTAAGTTCTCTCTATTTTTATGAATCGTTTGGTGATAATGGTGTGTTACATATAAAAACAATGAATTTTATTAACCAAATGGAGAATTGGATATAAAATCTGTTTGAAAAAAATAGAAGTGACGATGAAGAAAGAAGATGATTTGGAAAGAGGAGGATTTGGAAGAAAGACAAATAAATCAAGTGTTTAGAAAAAGGGTAAAATGGTAAAACATTATTCTCTCTCTTGCTCACTTAATTAATAAAAAAGCATGCATACAGACTTAATTCTTTGGTCTTCTGAGCATAGATACTGATATTTGCCTTAAAGTAACAACAATTATATATATGACTTACCTAAAAAAAAGTTATCTTATATCATTCTAAAGAAAAGTCTATACTAACTTACTCCCCATGTTCTTTTTTTTTTCGTCAATAGGATTTCATTTATAGGATTCAAGATGAAATACATGAGCCGGCAAGTACAAAACACTTCCGGAGACATAAGCTGGCGAGTACAAGAACACTCCCAGAGACAAAGACCAAACAAGGTAAACAAAGGAGAAAAAACCCAAGCACACCAACTACACTACAACCATCAATACTTCCCGGATCAGAATCTAGAAACCCAAAAAAAGAATTACAAAACCTAAACTTTAGAAAATTAAATCAAATCTGAGATTAAGAAAAACACACAAACGGGTTACAATACAAGAATCTCCTTTACCACAAATTGGAACCGAATGAAAGTGCCGTGCGACCCTCTTTATAATGCTCCAGAGAGGAGCCACGGAGGCGGAGAGACACATCCAAAACCTAGAGACAAGGAAAGTCTCTTGAAGAAAGGAAGAAGATCTAGGTCTACGATGGTGAAATTCTTCATCTAAGGCAGTGAAGAACCGGTTGAAGACTGCCTCTGCCAAGGAAAGATACGGCCAGATCGGAAGCTGAGAATGGCGGAGACAAAAGAGCCAAATAGCAAGAACACAAGGATGAAAAGATTTAAGCTTTAAAAATCTAGATCTGGAAAACTAGATCTGATTCCGTTGGAAGAAAAACATGGATGTACTAAAGAAAAGAGATTTAACAAGACTAGAGAAAGAGTTTTTCCGGCTCCAGTGTTGTGGAAGCCACCGGAACCGGAAAAAAAAACACAGCGATGACTACTTTTTTAAGAGAGAAGGGAGAGTGTTTTTTTAGGGTTGGAGAGAGAGGACTGGTAGTGACTTTTGTTTCCTTACTCCATATGTTCCTTATTAATGTATTTTATAGGATTTTTACATATATTAAAAATTATTTATAAATGTAATATTTTTTGTGATTTACAATTTTCTATATCTCAAAACCAATAGTATTCAATTTTTTCCTTGAAATTTATCAATAATAACTAAAAATATTGCATAAAAAAAACTTTAAATATCTATTTTTTTGAAACAAAAATTTCCCAGAAAATACAATAATAAGAAATTAAAAATTTTAACCATAATACACAAGATCTTGACAGATAGTTCTCTCTGTGACAAGCTAAAACATTCGGTAACGTAAGTATTCACAATTTACAAAAACTTGCATTCATCACTGTTAAAATCAATATGCAAACCTGATTGTTAAAAAAACATAGTTTACTATTTTGATTAAACCCACTCGACAAGGGTTTTCCACAAGACCAACCATTTTAATTTTTAAGGAACCAAAAAAAAAAAATCTTTAGGAACCAAAAAAAAGATATGGTCATATTAGTAAGAAGAGGAAGAATTCAGGGGCCTAGTAGTAATTTACAACCCGGGGTCGCCGGAGCTGAATACATCACAGGCGGAGAAGTAAAAGACCCCTAAGACGGAGGTTTTAGCAAAGATACAGAGAGATTCTGAGCGATGAAACCTTATAGTCCTTGATTCTCTGGTAAATTTCTATTCTTTCGATGAGTTATTAAGGAAAGAAACTATTTTGATGAATCTTACATAGCTCTGCATTTTTGCCTTGGGTTTTAGGGTTGGTTTTGTTTGATTCCTCTCTTTGCCTTAATGTTTAGGGTTGCAATGATGTTTTCAAGATTTCTGAAAAAATTAGAAAACATTGCTCAATTCAATATCTGCATTGCTTTCTCCTCCATTGCTCATCAAAACCAGGTTTCAAGGTCGAAACTTTATCATGTTTATAGTACTGTGAGATGTTTTCAGAGTGGTAGATTTGTCTGTGGGGGTAATTCTTCTTCACGGCATTGGTCTCAGTCACCGACCCGGGTTTTCGGGAATCGGGTTTCGAGAGCTATGAAGAATGAAGCTCAAAAAGCTCTCTTTGATTACTTGCATTATACTAGAACCCTTAGTTTTGTTGATGCAGATCATATAAGTAAGAATTCTCCTCGTTTTATTTTGAGTTTGTTGTCCAAGATTGATGATACTCGGAAGGAGGATATATCCCGGGCATTGACTAAGTTTCTAAGGTACAATCCCATCAACGAGTTTGAACCATTTTTCGAGAGTTTGGGTTTGCGTCCATCTGAGATTCCGCGTTTCCTTCAACGGGACTTGGTTCTTTTGAGTGATGATGGTATCATGTTTGAGAACTTTCATGTTCTTTGCTATTATGGGATTCCGCGTGGCAAGATTGGCCGCATGTTTAAAGAAGCAAGAGAGATTTTTGGATACGAGAATGGGGTTTTGGCGTCGAAACTTGAAGCTTATGAGAGCTTGGTTCTTAGTAAGCCTATAGTCATTAAGCTTGTTACTTGTTGCCCATTGCTTCTGGTTGGTGACATTGATAGTGAGTTTGTTTCTGTGATCAATAAGTTGAAGGGAGTAAACATAGGATGTGATTGGCTTGCGCGGTATTTGTCGGATAGAAAAACATATAACTGGCTTCGGATTCTTGAGACAATGGAGCTCCTTGATAAGGTGGGGTTTAAGGATGAGAGGTTGAGTAGTCTTTTGAAAGCATATCCAGATTTGGTGGGTGAGGCTTCTGGAAATAAAGCTTATATTATGTTGGAAAAGTTTCATAAAGTTGGACTTCAGATGAATGAAATCGATAATTTAGTGACAGACAACCCAGAGATGCTATTAGAGAAATCTGTAAAAAGAATTTTAGAGACGTTGAAATTCTTGAAACGTATCAGAATGGAAAAGCAGTTTGTCGTAAGGTTTTTACTGTGTCACATGAAGCTTATATGTTCATCCTCTTTGCTAGGACCTAGAGCTGTTTGGAATAGATTGAAAATCGGAAGAGACCAGTTATGTCAGATCATTAAGGAAGAGCCTTTGAGATTGTTCAGTTTAGCTTCTAAAACTAATAATAGTAGAATTAAACTTGATTCACTGGATTTGAGGAATGCAGAGAAAACGGTGTTCTTGTTGAAGCTAGGGTATGTAGAGAATTCCGATGAGATGGTGAGAGCTCTGAAAAAGTTTCAAGGGAGGGGAGATGAGCTACAGGAGAGATTTGATTGCTTTGTGAAGGCTGGTTTGGACTATAATGTGGTTAGCCAGCTTGTTAAGCGGGCGCCTCATATGCTTAACCGGCCGAAAGGTATCATAGAAAAGAAGATCAATTTGCTAACAGATTATTTGGGTTATCCAATTGAATCCGTGATAGAGTCCCCAACATATTTGTGTTATAGTATGGAGAGAATACATCACAGATTCTCAATGTACATTTGGTTGAAAGAAAGAGATGCAGCAATGCCGAGGCTGACACTAGGCACTATAGTCGGTATTTCCAATACCCTTTTTGTGTCATACTTTGTCAATACCCACCCTGAAGGTCGAGCTACTTGGGAAAATATAAAGAAAGCATCTACCTGAAGTGAATTTAACTGGTCAGTTCAATGATAAAACGTTACCTTCAATCTGGAATTTTTCAGTGAGATGGAGAGGATCAGAGAATATGTCTATGCATAGTGAAGTATTTCCGCCTTTGAATTTGATAATTACTCTCTATTCATCAGTATAGTGATACGAATGCCAACAAATGGACAAGGAAGGACTTGGAGAAAGCTGAAAGAACAGAGACTCTCCATAGTGTTGCTACGCTATTGAGCACAGCGAAGTGATTCTTAGACTGGAGTGAACAGAGCGACAAATTGGAAAGGCACAGTCCTTCGTTTATACAATATTCTTCTATTGCTTTCCGAAGCTGGAAATGCACACATACCATATGATGCAACTTGAAATATTTTCTTTGTTGAAGGAGACAGTATTGGTCAGACAAGGACCCGACCTGATACCGAAGAGATCAGCTAACGTCTACGTATTTACTGGGACATACCTGTGACAGTTCTGTTCAGAATGCATTATTACAGGTTGTTTGGAAGAATGGGTTTTGTCCTTTACTCTTAGCCACCATTAGTCTATCTCCTGTAACTATGTAACATATAGCTTTGACAAATGATCATGCTTTTTCCTGACTTTTTGTGGAGTGTCTTTGTCTGTTTAAGTATCTGAGAGTATCTTGTAGATTACCTAACTATTAGATTTTTGTATTGGAAACAAAAGATTGCATATAGTTAAAATGTTTTGGGTTAATCAGCATTCCTAATCTTAGTGCTATACATTTAACTATCCATCTCTCTTTATTAAAACTGAACCTAAAGCATCTGTATAAAATCTGAAGAACACCCAAAAAGAAAACCCTTTTAACAAAGATATCTAATTACATTTAACTTATGGTGCACTTTCATGTTGTGTAGTTCAGGTCATCTCTTATGGAAGAAGAAGAAGGAGAAGATGAAGCAGAAAGACAAGACCGCGCAATCTTAGACTCTTTGTCTTTGCTATATGCCTTTTGGACATCATCCTTAAGCTCTCTATATCTCATTCTCTTCAATCTTCTTTCATGTGTAGATCCCTTCTCAAAACGTAAATCATCTAGGATGTCTTCGTCTATGTACTCAGCCATGTACCTATCTAGAACCGCTGAGCCATATGGAAAAAACCTTCGACCAGTATCAACTGCATTGTGAAGCGGTAAATGAAGTCAGTCAAGAGAAAATGAGCAACAGAAGAAGAAGAAGGGTAAACTCACAAAGAGCAAGCTTTTTTACCTGTTTTCATTAGAGCCTCCATACGAGTAAGAAGTCTTTTGGTTTGCATATCAGGCGTTTCGTTTAAATCAACCTGATTCAAGTTTCCGGTTAACCCATTCGAAGGTGGTGGCAGACCAGTGAACTCACTTGTACCTTCGACGTTACCAATGTCCATAGCCACTTTAGCTTCCGTTGGAAAGAACAACTGAGCAAGCCCCACTGCAAAAGGTTAATGCTTTAACAAAAATGTCGTAAAGATACAGAAGAATTTAGCAATTATCAGTCAATTACCTCTCTTTTCTAGGTACATCAGTCTCATTTGCAGATCTTCAGGCATAGAAAGGGAACACATTGGGGTATCCAGAACCATGGGGTTCTTCCTGATTTCTCTTTCCAAGATATCGATGCATAACCTAGCTTTACTAGATTCACGCCCTTTCGCTGTTTTGGTATGATAATCCTTTGGATTTGTCAGTCTTCTCAATATATTAACTGCGCTGCGTCCGTCAGATGTAAACTCAGATGCATTGGCGCCTTCATCGATAAGCGATATAATGATCGATGGCTCTCTACGCATCGCAGCAAAATGAAGAACAGTATAACCCCGGGAGTTCCGAAAATTCACATCACCCATATCCAGAGCTAGAATCTCGGCAACAACTTTCGGATCACTATACACCACAGAATAATGCAGACCATTGGCTTGATCTAGAGTGATATCTGACTCAGTCAAAAGAAGCTTCACAAGCTCAACATCATCTGAATCCAACGCCTTGAGAATTTTACTGATTCTTTCGAGCAATTTCTCCGAAATCTTGGGACTGGTTTCTTCGTCTTGCGGGGACATAAGTCGAAGCTGTTTAATCTTCTCTGCTACTTCAGAAGGAACTTCCTTTTCGATACAGAACCTGTAAAGATCTGACCTCGCCACTCTCTCAATACACTGATCAAGAAGCTGAGTCAACTTACAATTGAAAGCAACCATAAGAATCGGAAGCACATTCTCAACAAGTGTCTTCTCCACAAAGTTACAAAGCCGCCGCTGCAAATACACAAACATAAAGCAGAAACCTTTAAGTTCTCATTGAGGTCTATGAATCAAGAAACAAAGTTATAGAGAAAAAAAGAAAGAAGATTTTTCCCACACCTGAAAAGATGAAACTAGCTCAGGCACTTGGAGAACAGATGAAGCATACATCAATTGAACAACAAAATCAATGGCAGGTCGACAAGAATCATGAGCACAAACTGGATCAACACAAGTCGAAACTTCCAAAGGAAAGGGCTTTAATCTCCCAGTGTAGATATAACTTAAGAAATACAAGAAAGCTTCATGACCAACAGCTCCATAAGGTAACATCTCTTTCAACTGGTACTTAGGTTTCTCAGTTTTCGATATTTTCTTCTCTTTCTTGAACAATTCTTGGAAAAACTTACTTCTTGCAGCTAAAATGCATCTATGAACACCAACCGGAACACCATCAACAATGATCTCTGCATCACTGTAATCAAAATCTGGATTATTAAGAAGCTGCTCAAGATTGGAGCTGAGTTTGCTTAGACTAACAACTTCAGGATTAGAAGCTGTGCTTGATGGGAAATGATTAGACCCAATAGAACCATAAGAGAAATGAGAAGATGTGAAACTTAAAGATGATGATGGCTCAGTCAAAGTAGCCATTTTTCTCTTCTTCTTTTTGCAGAATTATCAATCTTGTTGCATGAAGATCAAGATTACACAAGTCTAAAGATCGGTTTCAGATACAAAAGCCCAAAATTTACATTTCTAACAAGGAATCAACCAAACACAGAACCAAAAGGGGAAATTTTGTAAACTTGGGGATTTTAGTTATGAAACTATACCAAACAAAAAAATCGAATTTTTCAGACAGAACATTACTCTAGCACCTCTGATTCAATGTACCAAAAGAAAGTCATAAGGAAAGGAAGAAACTTTGGACAAGGAATCAAACAAAATTGGGAGAGAAAAAAACCCTCAAAGAATCTGAAAAAACGAAGGAGATAGAGATTGAAGAAATACAAAATCAGGAATTGAGATCTGCACAATCGTAAAAGATAAGATCAAAGAGAAGGCAAATTGAGATCTATCAAAGAGATAAAAACGAAGAGAATTTAGAGGAAAAGTCAAGAGAGAAAGAGAGGTATATAAGGGATAGATGATGATGAAATTGAGGACAAACAGGACACAACAGGTGCAAAGTGATGGTGAAAGAAAGAGACAGCTTCAATGTGAAGAGAGAGAGGAGAAAAAAGAGTTAATATAATAGTTTTTTTACATTTTAATAATATGAATTTATAAGCATTAGATTAAAAACGGAAAAAAGATATTCAGCTACACGAAGTATAACGAAATACATGGCTACACATGTCAAGTTTAGAAATGTACAACCAACTACACGAACTAAATGTATTGAATGCCCACATATACCAACTATATGATGACATGTAGTCAACATCACGAACATCTTATTCCGGTACACCAATCGTTGAAATCCGGCGTTGACCATCGTTGACCGGCATTGACCAACAAAAATATGCAAAAAAATTATTTTTATTTATTTTAATATTAAAAACAAAACTAATACATATTAAATTCAAAATAAAGATATTTTGTATATATATTTAATATATTGATTATTATAATTAGTTAGTTTTTTCAATTTAAAAACTAAAATAAAAGTGAAATAAAAATAATTAAGCGAATTACTTATTTGTACATTGTCAATAAAAAACATTAACTTCTTATTTTACAAATGCGTTTGCTAAAATCAACATCGTTAGATTTTCTATTTTCTATATATTAAAAAGAAACATTGCGAATTTTTTTGTTGTTTACGCGTTATTACGAGAATTTGTTTTAATAATTTTAATTACAAAAATTTAACAATATATTAAATTTAGACTAAAGAATATATAAAATTTTCTATATATCTTTTTTATGTATTATGATTTTGATTTTAGCAAAAAACTTTATATATTTTTACCATGCAAAATTTAGACTAAAGAGTCATATACTCAATTTTTTGTAATAGAATTTTATTTATTTCACTTTTAGTTTAGTTTTGAAATTGAAAAAATTAACTAATTATTATTATCATACAAAATATATATATTTTAAAAATATAGAATGTGTTTTTTTTTATTATTATTATACAACACCATAACCGATTCTATAGAATAATTCTTTTTAAAAACATTTAAAATAAATAAAAATATATATTTTTTAATATTTTTGTTGGTCAATACCGGTCAACGATGGTCAATGCCGAATTTTGATGATTAGTGTACCGGAATAAAATGTTCGTGATGTTGACTACATGCCGTCATATAGTTGGTATATGTGGGCATGCAATACATTTAGTTCGTGTAGTTAGTTGTACATTTTTAAATTTGGCATATGTAGCAGCCATGTATTTTGTTATACTTCGTGTAGCTGACTATCTTTTTTCCATTAAAAACATGGTCTAATAAAGTAGTATAAAGAAAGACTCAAATGAAAGTTGACAAATAGAAAACAAAGACTAGGAAAATCAGTGTATGGTGCTAAAGGTTCTCCGTGGGTGACGCCACACACTCACATATTCGACATTTTTCTCTAATTTATTATATAATATATTGGGTTTGTTAAGATTAATCTTTATTTGACCCAATAAAAAGTTTAATATATAAAACAATCGAAAATTTTATTATTTGAAAATATTTACAATTGTTTACCATAATTAAAAGCAAAATCGACATTTGATATGTGATTTTTTAATTTTCGGGTTTTGTCTTAAAACTTTTATAATTGTTTTGTATCATGTGAAAGCATTTTTAGTTTTAAGTTGACCAATAATAAACTAGTAACCATATTCTACAAAATCAGATCTAATCTAGGGATTAAACTTCTAAATCTTTGATTATGTTGTATATATGTTATAATGTAATTTATATTTACATAGAAAGGTAAAAAGGAACAATGAATAACATGGTATGAAAACAAATAATGTGATTAATTTATTTTTTTGAAAAATTCATTTAATTTTTATATAACATGTAATTTTTTCATAATATATTAAATTTTACCTCGGTGTCTAGTTTATTAATTAGAGTTTAGGATTTCAAATTTAAGATTTTTTGTTATTATATAATAAATTCACATAAAACATAATATGTTTACGGAAGAAAAAATTATTTATTCTGTAAAACAAAAGACACAATTTAAAAAAATCTCATTATAGTTTTTGTTAATGTTCTTTATTCAATAGTTTTATTATATTTAAACATTTTATGCGTTTTCAGTAGTTGCAAATTGTATTGCTAATTTCATCTGATAAAATAATAAAATTTGTTTCTTAGTTGTAAACAATTTGTAATGATATGCTAATGCCGTCACAAAATAGCATTAAGTCAAGAAAATTAATATTAAGAAATAGCCGTCACAATTGATGACGGAAGGAAGTGACGCAAGCAAATGCGAACGGCATATGAATGATGTGGCTTGTG